AAGTCACCACCAATATAAGCATTGTACCACCCGAGAGCTCTGTCTAACAGACTTTAGTCACCACCAATATAAACATTGTACCACCCGAGGGCTCTGTCTAACAGACTATAGTCACCACCAATATAAACATTGACCCCAGAGCTCTGACTAACAGGCTATAGTCACCACCAATATAAACGTTGTACCACCCGAGAGCTTTGTCTAACAGACTAAAGTCACCACCAATATAAACGTTGTATCACCCGAGAGCCAGTCTAACAGACTATAGTCACCACCAATATAAACGTTGTACCACCCGAGAGCTTTGTCTAACAGACTAAAGTCACCACCAATATAAACATTGTGCCACCCGAGAGCTCTGTCTAACAGACTAAAGTCACCACCAATATAAGCATTGTACCACCCGAGAGCTCTGTCTAACAGACTTAAGTCACCACCAATATAAACATTGTACCACCCGAGTCCTCTGTCTAACAGACCATAGTCACCACCAATATAAACATTGTATCACCCAAGAGCTCTGTCTAACAGACTATAGTCACCACCAATATAAACATTGTATCACCCCAGAGCTCTGACTAACAGGCTATAGTCACCACCAATATAAACGTTGTACCACCCGAGAGCTCTGTCTAACAGACTTAAGTCACCACCAATATAAACATTGTACCACCCGAGAGCTCTGTCTAACAGACTATAGTCACCACCAATATAAACATTGTACCACCCGAGAGCTCTGTCTAACAGACTAAAGTCACGACCAATATAAACGTTGTACCACCCGAGAGCCAGTCTAACAGACTAACGTCACCACCAATATAAACATTGTACCACCCGAGAGCTCTGTCTTACAGACTATAGTCACCACCAATATAAACATTGTACCCCCCGAGAGCTCTGTCTAACAGACTATAGTCACCACCAATATAATTATTGTACCACCCGAGAGCTCTGTCTAACAGACTAAAGTCACGACCAATATAAACATTGTACCACCCGAGAGCCAGTCTAACAGACTAACGTCACCACCAATATAAACATTGTACCACCCGAGAGCTCTGTCCCACAGACTATAGTCACCACCAATATAAACATTGTACCACTGGAGAGCTCTGTCTAACAGACTATAGTCACCACCAATATAATTATTGTACCACCCGAGAGCTCTGTCTAACAGACTTAAGTCACCACCAATATAAACATTGTACCACTATCACCCGAGAGCTCTGTCTAACAGACTATAGTCACCCCCAATATAAACATTGTACCATCCGAGAGCTCTGTCTTACAGACTATAGTCACCACCAATATAAACATTGTATCACCCGAGAGCCAGTCTAACAGACTAAAGTCACCACCAATATAAACGTTGTATCACCCGAGAGCCAGTCTAACAGACTATAGTCACCACCAATATAAACATTGTACCCCCCCAGAGCTCTGTCTAACAGACTTTAGTCACCACCAATATAAACATTGTACCACCCGAGAGTTCTGTCTAACAGACTATAGTCACCACCAATATAAACTTTGTACCACCCGAGAGCTCTGTCTAACAGACTAAAGTCACGACCAATATAAACGTTGTCCCCCCCGAGAGCCAGTCTAACAGACTAACGTCACCACCAATATAAACATTGTACCCCCCGAGAGCTCTGTCTAACAGACTATAGTCACCCCCAATATAAACATTGTACCATCCGAGAGCTCTGTCTAACAGACTATAGTCACCACCAATACAGATGAGTAATCTTTACCCCTCCGTATCACCCGAGAGCCAGTCTAACAGACTAAAGTCACCACCAATATAAACGTTGTACCACCCGAGAGCCAGTTTAACAGACTAACGTCACCACCAATATAAACATTGTACCACCCGAGAGTTCTGTCTAACAGACTATAGTCACCACCAATATAAACGTTGTACCACCCGAGAGCCAGTTTAACAGACTAACGTCACCACCAATATAAACATTGTACCCCCCGAGAGCTCTGTCTAACAGACTATAGTCACCACCAATATAAACTTTGTACCACCCGAGAGCTCTGTCTAACAGACTATAGGCACCACCAATATAAACATTGTACCACCCGAGAGTTCTGTCTAACAGACTATAGTCACCACCAATATAAACACTGTACCACCCGAGAGCTCTGTCTAACAGACTATAGTCACCACCAATACAGATGAGTAATCTTTACCCCTCCAGACATGGAGTAATTAGCTCACATTCCGATAGAACCCGATGTATGTCTCCCCCTCCCCCGCCGGTATACGGTAGCAAATTGTAAATCAATATGCCATAAAACCCCGATTAAGGTTAACGATAAACCGCAGTGGTCGGCTGTGTATAGGCCAACACTAGGCACTATTCAGACGTGTATAGCGTTACGTCAGGTCTGAGACAGGCAGGCGCCGGCCAGGTGTGAGCCAGTGTAAACAATAATATATTAAAATCTGCAAATGTCATATCGTCCCCTAAAATCAGCGACACATCAAAACTAGCCCCTCTCTTTGCTGAAGAACAGTAACATTGTCTGGGGTCAATGATCCTGTCATGAGCTTGTAGACCCTTTACAACTGGCCAGGCTACCCCGTAGCGTTTTTTGCCGACCTGGGGGTTGGTATTATAAATGGAAGCAATGCCCAATTACTTCATTATTTGTTAGCTTGAAATGTTTTAAAATTAAAGCATTCTAAAATTCAAGATTACCAAAAACAATCCTTGAAGACTTATTACATATTTTCTTCACTAGTATGTTCATTTGAACTTTGTAAACAACATATTCTGTGAAGAAAAAGTAAATTCTGTAATCTATTAAATGAGTTCATCTAACTTTTAAACTGTTAAGCTTATAAGGAAGAAACAAATGTAACCCAGGTGCTTGACAATGGTTCAGGTGAGGCAGAAAGACGAGATAGGTGGAAGAGCTAGTATTTCCGTGATTGGCACGGTGTCTAGGAATGTCAGACAGCTAAGCAATCCATTTAACGTTAAACAATACTTAGCTATCCGCGCATCAATCTAGAGAGAATTACAAGTGGACAATATGTCAATTGCATTCAACATACAGGAAATTTATTGATTTTTATTAAAAAAGATAAAGACAAACACGATAACTATGCAAGCGTAGACGATATTATTCTCATTTTAAATTGTATAGATCTCAAATATGGCCCGTGTAGTGATTAATTCAAATTTTATTCAATGACCCCGCATTAACTAATTAAAAATTAATTATCTGAATCACGGAATCATTTTGATTGATATTTATTCCAAATTTGCATCAGAACAACTACATTCTATGTAAAAAAAAATGTCATTAGTGTTGCTGATAAAACAAAAATAACAATGCTTAATCAATTAAATTTCTGTTCAATTTGAACATCTAGACGGTGCTGGTTACGTAGGTGCTCGAAATGTTTTTTTAGAAATCCTTATATTACAACAATAAATGTTCTATCGTAAATGTCAAAAATGTGTTCAAAGTACAATTCAAGTTCAGCTGTTTTGCATAAAAATGTAACATATCTACTTATAGTCGTTAATTATGATAAATACGATTTTTTATGTTCAAAAACACATAACAAAACGTCGTTTAACAAAAATGACATAATACAGGCGCCAGGAAACATATTTATATTTTTTGCTAATTAATTACTTGACGTCGAACAGGTAAAGTCCTATTATAGCATAGTGAGACCTAAATGAAGACAAGTGTTGTCAACTGAATGAAGCACTTCAGTTTCACATTTTACTTAATTTTCCCATGATAGATATATTTTTTTACATTCTTTTCCATGGGAAATCATTTCTGCTACTATACCCTTTAAAGATGAATTTCGTTGCATTTGTGAAAATATCCCCGTAAGAAAATTGTCCATGCGACGTTAGGTTAACCAGACATTAGGCAACTTGACCCTAGCGTTTATTGGAATTATTTTGGGTTAATTGGACATGCACATAATAAGTAATTAGAATGATAAGTTACTTAAACATATAAATTGATATTTTGTTTTAATTAACTAGCATTTCGTAATATAATAAATGCATCATACGCGTTCACTCGCTCCTGTCAATTTTGTTTGCAATACATTTTTTTCTGAAATGAATCAAACGTCATTTGGTACAAACATATCATATTGAATACTCCGGATTGATAGCAGCTACATGATGACGTACCTTAGAATTTTAGGGGATAAGAGAGGAAAACATACGCAATTTGTGATGAAGACCACATACAGGATTTACAGTTATTTGTTTACTGACGTTTTTCCTTGGTTCGTTCGCTGACTTTTGGTGTAGATTTTGAGCTGCATTTTTGTCTTTTGTTTTGTTGACGTTCTGGAATATTTCTTAAATTGTTCTGTTAATTTTCTTCATTAAGATATCAAGACTACTAAACTCGATTTTACAAAGATCCCTGCTATGTGACTTACACAATTACTGTATAAAATAACATACCTTATAATCTAATAGCATCAGAACACATCATTGTAACATGGGGGTTCTATAACAGAAAATATAACCCTATGTACACAATGTTAGTCGTACCGGCAGGGTTCGACTGTGATAGTACTTACTACAAGGTTAAGCTGACAGTGACCAAAAGAATAAGTAGGCTACGTTTAAATATCTGATCATTAACACCACAATCAATTAACCTGATGACAAGGACGAATGTGGTCTGTGGTCGCATGTTGATTCACAGACATATCTGAATGGAATACTTGTTGTAACGATCAGCGCTAGCAGTTAGTCTTGTTATGACTGAATTTAAACCATATGACGAGTCGGATAAAAGTTTTCGGAATTTTTATTTTAACTTGTCAAAATAAAAATCACAGTAAACATGTAATTTTTATGTTTACTACTGGAAGCAGGTGTCGTATTGAAATAGAAATAGCAAAACAAGCCATTACTGTAAATATTTGATATTTTTTCGAATAAACTTTTCCGAGATTGTGCTTCAGATGATATATTCGTATAGAGCTCGTGTTCACGAAACTGGTCCTCTGATCATGTTCATTGTAGCAAATCCAAACTAACGCTGAGAATGCCAAGTGCAGTATCCAGGAGAGGGACTTTACTATAGCCGGATTCCTCACCGATGACTTTGTGACACCATTAGCAGGTGAGTCCGGTATGTTCATTCTGTGAAAAAAAAGAATGTGAATAATCATATATCATTTAATTTTGCCTATCTCCCCCTTCGCGGATTTATGCAAAGTGCACAATTTCTTTTCGGTATATACCGTATATACCAAAACAAAATCTTGGTCATTCCTTAAAGAATATGAAACTGACGAAGGGGTATTTTTGGTGAATATAAAATTTCAACATCTGGAATACAAACCGGATGGAAGTAATTTCTTGAAGGTCTATTCCCTTTCTGCCTAGCCTATCGTCAAAACAATTCGATTAGGTGGAATGAATTGCTATCGTGTGCAAACTTTGATACTTCAGTGAGCTGGCACTTTAAAAAGTTGTCCTTACCACAGAGGACACTTTCTTCATCTGATCTGCGCTGTTATTAGGACGTGCAACCCCAAATAAACAAACAATACAGAAAAAAGGACCGTGGTTTGTCTCAAAAACCTGCCAGACATGTACCTCTTGTTCTGTTACACCAGCGTGTTTACTACACAGTAACGACACTAAACTGTCGCTAAGAATGCCCAATGCAGTATCCCGTATATGGAATTTGCTATAACCCTATCCCTCACCAGTGATTAATGTACAAATACGTATATAGCATTGGCCTCGTTGTCAATACTGCTGGCTAAATGCTCACAGATTCCGTGCAATGCCCAATGACACGTTCGTTTATAGGAGATGTCTTACTATTTCTGTGGACAAAATGAAACTCTATATTATCAAAACGATGTTTTTATTTCATGGCGTTAATTAAACGACATGATGAACTTGCCCTGCGCTGTTTTGATTATAACATGGTAGACATTTAGGCTCTTATAAACACGAATGGTGTGGTAATATCGCAACATCCAAAAAGGGATAAAGTTGATATTGAAATAAAATTTAAAAAATACCCATGTTTTTTCAGCTGAGATAGTATTGCCCAGTAATTGAACATAACACAAGATTGAAAGGAAATATTAAACACTATTATTGTTCGTATAGATACTGTATGCTACTGACACACCAGTAGCATGATGACAAGACGATAGAGTCTTTCGAACTTATCAATGAGAATACGAAGGTAATCAACATCTCTCCAAAACCCTAGTTATATATATTTCAAAATTGCAGCCATGCTTAGACTTGAGCAAGACTAGAGGCATGACCTAAGGTTCCCCCCACACGCACGTGCGGGCCTCGCTAAGGTAAGCGATACACTTAGTTGACACTGTAACAACTTTCAAGTTGAAATCAAATAGTCCATATTTAGTGTTTAGAAACATTGTGGTTTTCTTATGAGCGATGTCACGATTTCTGTCTGACGCCTCACGCTGGCCTGAGACGGCCAAGATCAGACATCAAACAGAACAGCGATTGTGTTAGAAACTTCTTATGTTGACATGGCACAATATAGTGAATAACTTGTATTGTTTAGCGTGGAGCCGTCGTGGTATTTATATAGTAGACGATGGGTATATAACGTTAGCTAAGTAATGATACGACAATAAACGTCTCTACTCATGTGTCCAACTACCCACTGTCTTGTTAGATTAACAACAGTTACACGCAAATTTGCAACAACATCTATTTTGAAATCGATCGAACAAAACTCGTAAAAGGAGCGTCTAAATGTATTATCTTTGGATAAGAAAAAAGATATTCGTTCTCACGACATTGTAAAGAAAACAAAAAGATTTGTTTTAGTTATTTGATTATAAGGCTAACCATGCTTTTACAAAATACCCTCTGGTGTCAATGTGGCGTTGATGTACTTTACTCAAACATACACTCCGCAAACTTTCTTGGGCTACTTTCTCATATATCTATCTATAGAAATCTATCTGTTGGTTCAGAATAATGTTTTTTCTTTTATTTCAATTTCCATGAGTGATTCGAAAAGAATTTCAAATGATCAGACGTTAAGAAACAATAGATGACTACAAAGTTCGTGGTTTTTCCCCCCAGAGTTTTGTCATTCCAGTATACGATAAGAATATCTTATTTTCCAAAATTCTATAATTTCTTTTTGTTCTGATGATGTTTTCATACTATGTATACAATACGTAAGCACGTATTTAAAGATTTTTTTTACCATACACTGTACTTGAACAGAAAGGGTTTCATCTAACAAGTGTGTTTATGTCACAAACAATTAAAATTGCTCAAAAGAACAGCAACACAAGGAAGTATTTGACCCGAACAATCTGTGAGCGTTTGTGTCGTTTATATACATGTCTGACATAAAAATTTGGCACATGGCGTGAAAATGATATCATTGTTGTACCCTTGAAAAGATATAATTAAATGTATGGAAAATTACTGGTTTGTGATACAAACAAATCCTGATAGCGTGCATGTGTAATTGGCAATATTTAATGTCTCCTTTCCTTTAATCATAATAGTTTTATCTTGCACACTAATAGTATCCAAGATCATCAATAGGGTTTGCCGCGAGTCTAGAACATTTGAAACGTTCGAACCTTTCTGTCGGTAGGGACGGGTTCGGATCCTGGTGACCGGCAAACTCGCTCCAATGATGCGTCCATTCATTTCTCTAAACAATCAATTAAAGTGTCGCTTGTCAGTGTCTAATAAAACACTTCGAGAAGTCAAAAGTATCAAGGAAGCGTGTCTTCAAATTTCCAGATGAATGTCTGCCAATGTTTTATAATCAAACGTAGGAACAAAAAAAATGTTAACGGGATATTATTTATTTTAAGTATTAAACAAGTGTCACACAATTCCTTAGTCTGAAGATACATTTTATTCAATGTTCGAATCTTTAGAATAACATCAGAATCGCGAGGATAAACATTGAACCAGCATGGCATACACTAGAACAACCACGAGATGACGTCACAATGATGTACCATAAAATGGTGCCAACTTGTGGAAGTCACTTGAGTTTTTCGAAATCGTCCGTTCAAGAGCAATTGGAAAAGTTGCATTACAACATTAATGGCTCGTCATTTAAACAGTATGCGTGTTGTTTCAGGATAGCTTACCTATATAATATCATAGATGTCCATTTAGTGGTTATTTTAGAGAGTATGCTTTTGGGTTTGCCTACTTGTTCAAAGATATTTTGAATTCGGAGTGTTTGTCGTATCGCAAATATCATTAATCTTTTAAAGTAGTAACGAAATATAAACTAAAACGCGAAAATAACTGTTTTTTATAACTTTCTCCTTTCCTATATAGACCAAGGAAGTACAGTCTTAACAATACAAAAGGGCAGTAAAATGTTTAGACGAATAGTCGACAAACTAACGTGAGAAGGACGTAGAGGCGTTTACTCCGCCACCCGTCAGGGGACCAGTACAGTGTAGGATAGAGAACAGTCTGTGTGATGTGCTACCTAGAAGAGGCAGCCAGGACTGTCGACTGACAATTCATATTATATAAACTTTCATATTCCTGTTGTAGTATGTGTGGTGATCAATTTCGAAAAATAGAAATAAAGTACTGTAATATACCTACATCTTTATTTACTATTTCATGCTCCATCTTTGCAGAATAATTTAAATAGTAGTTGGCTTTTAGGTACAAAAGTGTTATTTGTATTTGTTCTGATTTCATGTTTGTAGTTAGATGCTTAGGTATATCTTACTAAGACACATGCTAGGTGTTATTTAACCACTGGTTGTGTGATAATCACCTCGCCAGTATCAACACTTTATCTATTATTTAACCACTGGTTGTGTGGTAATCACCTCGCCATTATCAACACTTCATCTTTTGTATTGAATTTGATATTTGTTTCCTGCATGCTTCTGCTTTCTATGTTATTTTCACTGTAAAGTTTGTTTCTAATTTGTCTGTCATACACATGTTCATATTGAGCTACTGTAATATTGTTTTAACACACGACGCAAAACACATCGTGCTATATCTTAGGTGATTATAATAAGCATGATTACCGTGTTCACATCAAGGGGGTGACGAGGGACTGTAGCCAATCTACCTGACCCGTGTTGAACCTTTGACAATTATACTAGATTTCTTATGGTCGTTTTATAGAACAGCTTAATTATTATCGACCTGTAAAGTCCCTTTCTCATAGCATGATAACGTGATTGAACTCCAAACTCAGAAACAATAACAGGTTTTCATCTATATGACGTATTTACGGGAGGAAATAGTGATGACAAGGATATCCTATGACTCCGGTCTAGTTGTAACTCCACTATCTGAAAGGTGTCGATATACTTGTAACGGTAATGATCAGGTATTTTTTACAACATGTATGTTTGTGTGGAATTTCATTAGGATACATAACTAGTATCAAAGTACATTTGAAAGATGACGACTATTTCTCCAGGCTATATATTTATCACGTGACCTGTCGATACCCCGATAGGTTTACGACCACGTGATGTATGGTGATGGATACTCTGCTGAGGTGTTGATCATTAAACCATCAGGAGTGGGGACGTTTGTGGACTTCCCGCCGAGTTGGAGTAGGACAATGATGTATGATGTGTTGTGTCGTAAACGTCAAGGAGGTGTCAGTCACATCGTTCGTATAGTGGTGTGAAGTCATGTTCAATTCAGAGCTGTAGGAATTGTCGTAACTGTAAACAGTGCGTTCATTACACCATAAACGTGAAAAATTACTTCTTCAGAATCCTTTATCAAGGAAATATGCAATGTATTAAATATATATTAATTTAAAAACAAATAAATTGTAAACATGCATTTTTAGCGCTTTCATCTTGTCATCTTATCATGGTGATTCTTTGGACTCTTAATTCACAGGGGAATTAATTGTAACGTTATATTATGACGTCATCATAACCATTTTAATGACTGCTACATTAAGATCGCTAAACCATGCACTTCGTGCCGAAACTTATGACCGTAGAATACAGCGACAATTTCACTTTTCCAACTGCCATATAATTTCTTGAAGTTATCGATGATGAGAGAAAAGTCGGGATATGGGAGGCTTTAAAGTCTAACAGAGCTAAGTTCGTTATCACAGTTATTATAAACAATCATACTTATCATTTCATATCGCAAGAGGATTTACCTATTGAACCGCAAATATTCAGCTATTAACTTTTGACAATTTAGATGATAACCCTTTAAATCACCAGACCACTGTCCTTTTACATGGAAACATTTTTATTGACTTTTGACAATTTCCATTGATGAAGAATTTATATCTGATATAATGTTGCTCGTTTCAATCAACCGTTTTGATGAAAGATTGATGGGACGAATTCAATAACACAGTACCAGCACATTTTAACGAAATAGCGGCCTTGATCTCGGTTCTCTGGCTAACAAATACCAACGCAGGCTCGAATCTAACTGAATCATACTTTTTCGGTATATGTAACAGATTGTTAATGTGATAGTCACGACCTCCAGTAAATGACATATAACATCACATTATACAACTGTACCAACTGGTAGAACTATCTGGACACGAATCTTCATCCTCGTCGCCATACGCGTCACTCAGAACGAAGCTTTCTGTCGTACTTATTCTCGGTGATGGTTGAGACCGGGGCGCCGATGGTATCGTTCTGTCTGCACTGAGGGAGGAACAGTTGCTATTTCTATCCGCCTCCGAGTTAAAATAACGTAATAATGGTGTATAATTACTGTTCAGGCATTTGGACACGCTGCACAGGATGAAGTTGTTATCTCCTAAGTGTAAGCATAAACTGACTATGCTGTGTAGTACATCGTCCTACAGGGGGTAGTGTTCATTATCCTACAGGGAGTAGTGTTCATCGTCCTACAGGGGGTAGTGTTAATTGTCCTACAGGGAGTAGTGCTCATCGTCCTACAGGGGGTAGTGTTCATTGTCTTACATGGGGTAGTGTTCATTGTCCTACAGGGGGTAGTGTTCATTGTCCTACAGGGGGTATTGTTCATCGTCCTACAGGGGGTAGTGTTCATTGTCCTACAGGGGGTAGTGTTCATTGTCTTACAGGGGGTAGTCTGCATCGTCCTACATGTAGTAGTGTTCATTGTCTTACATGGGGTAGTGTTCATTGTCCTACAGGGGGTAGTATTCATTGTCCTACAGGGAGTAGTGTTCATCGTCCTACAGGGGGTAGTGTTCATCGTCCTACAGGGAGAAGTGTTCATTGTCCTACAGGGGGTAGTGTTCATTGTCTTCCATGTGGTAGTGTTCATTGTCCTACAGGGGTAGTGTTCATTGTCATACAGGGGGTAGTGTTCATTGTCCTACAGGGAGTAGTGTTCATCGTCCTACATGGGGTAGTGTTCATTGTCCTACAGGGAGAAGTGTTCATTGTCCTACAGGGGGTAGCGTTCATCGTCCTACATGGAGTAGTGCTCATCGTCCTACAGGGGGTATTGTTCATCGTCCTACAGGGAGTAGTGTTCATCATCCTACATTGTGTAATGTTCATCGTCCTACAGGGAGTAGTGTTCATCGTCATGCATGGAGTAGTGTTCATCGTCCTACAGGGGGTAGTGTTCATCGTCCTGTAGGGAGAAGTGTTCATCGTCCAACAGGGAGTAGTGTTCATCGCCCTACAGGGGGTAGTGTTCTTTGTCCTACAGGGGATAGTGTTCATCGTCCTACAGGGAGTAGTGCTCATCGTCCTACAGGGAGTAGTGTTCATCGTCATGCATGGAGTAGTGTTCATCGTCCTAATGGGGGTAGTGTTCATCGTCCTACAGGGAGAAGTGTTCATCGTCCTACAGGGGGTAGTGTTCATCGTCATGCATGGAGTAGTGCTCATCGTCCTACAGGGGGTAGTGCTAATCGTCCTACAGGGGGTAGTGTTCATCGTCCTACAGGGAGTAGTGTTCATCGTCCTACAGGGAGTAGTGCTCATCGTCCTACAGGAGGTAGTTCATCGTCCTACAGGGGGTAGTGTTCAGTGCGTTTTGAGAGAATCACTTGGTTGTCACGAGGCGTCAGTAACTGTTTAACGATCTCTATCAAATCTAATTGTAAAAAGTGTCTATTTAAATTTTATATGAATGGAAAAGGGTATTTATTAGAAGCGTTGCCAAGGAGAACCTAGAATAAAAGGAAAGGTGACTTAAAAGCTTTCTTAAACAGATACAAAACTATTTGTTTCAGAAGTTGTATTCGTCATGATTTCGTCTGGGATATCCAGGAAACTTAAATTCCATAAACGTTTTAGGTGAATTAATCAGTGCAATTAATCACTGAAATATATCGGTTATAAAGTAACAAAGACGACCGAAGTATCGATATGCGCATTTGGGTCTTGCCAAACAATCTTGCAGTAACACAGTTGGTGCGTAAAAGGTTTTATACAAAAGCGATACCCTACCTACGCGAGGGAATGTGTATGCCACAACATCAACACATAAATTTAGTAATTGCATACCTAGGCTACAATAGTTCTGTATATGCATAAATTTCTTCAACCCGTTTTAATTCTCGCTGTTCAATTTGGACCTCGAAAAACTGGATCCGAACAGTAAGGACGGGTAAACCGACGTCCAGGGGGGATTTGGTTTGGTTTTATTTAATGTCTTAACAGCTAAAGCCTTTTAAGGACGTGCCTCCATATGTTTGATGTTCCGTGCTAATGTGTATGTATGTATTTGCCTCCTTGCGATAGCGCGGATCTGATACCGATTCTCGAGCGCTACCTCATTGAAATATCATGCCGAAGGCACCAAGCGCAGAAGTCCACTAGAGGACGGAAGAATGACACCAAGCGCAGTAGTCCACTAGAGGACGGAAGAATGACACCAAGCGCAGCAATCCACTAGAGGACGGAAGAATGACACCAAGTTGATAGCGCAACTGATGTAAAAACATTCGGAACTCATTTTTGTTTCATTACATCGATTGAAGCAATGGAAAATAACCAATGAGTAACGAGCAATACTTCAAGTATTTTCGATCGATGGTGTTATACGATATTGCGAATTACAAACGTATGTGGTAACAGGTTCCTTAACATAGACATAAAGGGTTAAAGTGCACTTTATCAGTATGGTATGATTGGTATATAGCGTTGTAACAAATTAAATGGTCAAAAATGGTACTCAGTCTCCGATTAGAATTTCGATAGTGATAAGTCTGTTGAAATAATCTTGATAACTAAATGACTGACTGTTGTCAAGCCTATTTTATGATTTTTAACGAGTATAAACAGAATTTGTATGATTCGGATATTTTCTTTCACGTGTATTCCGAATAAGATAATCTGATAATATTGATAGTTATTCGAATGCTGATTATTGTCATTCGAAAAATATCTACCACAGGAACTATTCGCTTTTACAGAATTTACTTGCTTATATTGACTCATGAGTATATTTTACTTAGATTCTCACGATTTCGGATGATTTAGTAGCAAATTTGGCGCCAGTGATCTGACTGCACACTATAATAGATTTCTGTGTTTGTGTATTTATCGACATCATTTTAATCGCATGTTAATTTATTTGCTTTGTCA